ATGGGAGGGAAAATTTGGACTGATGAGCCAAAAGCAGCCTTCATATCCCCCTCAAAGATTTTTCCTCCTAAAAGAGTAGAGAGATTTGTTTTTTCCTTCTCTTTTCTTGTTTTTTTAATAATTTATTTAAATTTATGATATGCACATTGGTGTGAAGATGTCGGATCCCCTGAAAGTGGAGTTACAAACAGTTGTGAGCTGCCATGTAGGTGTCGAAAATTGAACCCATGTAGTACAGGCTGGCTTTGAATTTTTGATTCTCTAGTCTCAAGTGCTGGAATTGTGTGTTTGCACCACTGCACCTAGCTAGCACCATTTTTAATAATCAAAAGTATTTTAAAATAAATGGAAAGGGCTCTTGGCTGCTCTCCATTGTTCCTTGAGCTTGTGAGTAAAAACAAGCTCATCTGAGATTTTCTGCCCTTCAGAATTCCCTGTGATTGTCCAGTTGCTCTGATAGAAAGGCTCTCCTGCTCTTATTCAAATAAATCAAGGGCAGGAGTGACCTAATGCCCTAGAATGCTATTTCTCAAACTTTAACACCTAGGTGGGCATTGCTAGTGGTCTTGTTGAGAACATGACCCCAGTTCCACAACTCTGAAGTGGGCCCTACTCTTACCCAGTTCTCAGGGTGTGCAGACGGACCTGTCCATGGTTGCAGAACATTCTACAAAGGAGCATTATGGGTATATTGCCAAAGCAGGAAGAAGAGAATCACTACCAAATTCTAGTGTGGGAAAACAACAGGAAAGTCGATGGAACGACATATTCCAAAACATTAAAGAAAGTGATGAGGTTATCAGCAATTTAAATTTTCTCCCCCTTGAGTCTGAATCTTCAAATCTATAAGGAGTGTGTACTGCTTAGGATGAAGTTGAAATCTGTTCCAGCTTGGATCGGAAATGTCCCCAGCTCGTGCTTTGAATGGATGTTCCTCAGCCTGTACTATTCTGGGAGGGTGTGGAGCTCTTCAGGGGGTGAGACGGCTGGGGAAGTGGTCAGTGGAGATGGAGCTTTCAAGTTCCTGTCTTGATCTCTCTCTCTCTGTTTCTTTCTCTTTCTCTATGTGTGTGTGTGTGTGTGTGTGTGTGTGTGTGTGTGTGTGTGTGTGTGTCTTGAGCTCCCTGTCTCTCTCGCGCGCCTGAGCTCCTTTCCTCCGTCGTAACTTCCCTCTCTCTTTCTGCAATGTAGTGAACAACCTCATTCACAGGCTCCCACTGCCAAGCTTTCCCCACTATGATGAACTAAGACCCTGTGAAAGCATGAGCCAAAACAACTCCCTTAAGCTCTTTCTTTCAGATTTGTGATCCAGCAATGTGAAAGTCGCCAATACAAAAATCTAAATAACTAAATCAAGAAAAAATTCTAAAATACACAAATTTTCTCTTTTGAGACTAGGTCACAGGCAGTCCAAGTGGTTCTCAATTTTGCTGTGTACCCAAGGATAAACTTAAACTCCACACTATTTGAGTTTCTCACTTTACACAATGAACTCCATCCTGTACCACTTTGCTTCAAAGCCCTCAGACCCTACTGCCTCTGCTGTTCTTTCCAGAGCTCCACTCACCCAGTGTCCTGCCTCAGTGCCCTGGCATACATGATTCTGTTTGCTTGGACCAGCCCTGAAGACTCCTTAGAAGGCTTCTAATCTCCATGAAACTTGGGCCTTCACTCTAAGTCCTCTTCCTGCCCCTCACTGGTCTTCCACAGTCTCCCTGGATGACACCTTGTCTTTTTCTGACCTGTTAGCCTCAAAGTTCCCTATGGCCCCTTCTCCTCAGGTCACTCCCCTCTCTGCAGTCTCATTCCTGCCTTCTAGCCTATTTGCACAGCTGGCTTCTCCAAGCATCGCTTCTAGCATCATTCCTTAACCCCACCAGATGCCTTCTCTTAAATGACCAAAATATCCCATCACACCAACCCATACTCCCCATCCTCTTCCCTTCAGAACTGCACCAGCAGCCTGGGTCCCTCTGTCATGTCTCCTAAACCTACCCTAGGTCTCCAGAAGCCAAAGCACCATTTTCTTAAACTGTAAATTGGGACATGCATCTGCTGCCTGTTTCCTTACAAAATCACATACCTGAGCCATGCCCACAGAGGCTCTGCCCAGCCTAGACTGGCCTCTTGCACTGACCTCCTCACACCCTTGCTCCAAGCCTGGCCGCCTTTCTGCCCTGAGTATGTCCACCCAGGAGCACCACATGCTTTGACTCTGCAGAAGGTCATAGCCAGTAACTGGGAGTGTTGACTGCTGAAGGGTCCTCAGCTACCACTCTCTGGGGAACTGTCCTGGGGCAACTGAGTGGACTCTGTGGCAGATGACCCAGGGAAGACCTCACTGTCTCACTGGAGCTATAAGAAGCCAATCCGGTCCCTTGAAGTGCAGCTATCAGTGGTGAAGTTTATTGTCTGCATCCCATCGTTGTGCCACCTTGGGACTTAGCTAAGCTGAACCCACCTCACTTCACTTTGCCTGCTTCTCTCACACCCCTTTGACTTTCTCCTGGCCCTTATTTCCTCTAGGAAACTCCCTCCTAAGGCTCCCAACCCTCTTCATGTCAAGAATGGCTCCCTCAGGAGACCCTGCCAGAACCCCAGGCTGCGACAAAGCCGGATCCTAACTGCTCTCTGTGTTCTTCATAAGAGTCAGAACATCTGCAGCTCACTGCCATCACTCATGAGGCATGTGTCTCCCTCATGGGTCTGCAAACTCCATGAAGCCAAAGCCATTCTAGTTCTCACAGCAGCCTCCTAGTTCCTAGGGCCACTTGGCACATAAGAGATGTGCAATAAACACTGGGTGGGCACACAGAGAGGAAGGGGAGGGAGGGAGAAAAGTTCTTGCCTTGCCTTTCATATTGGGTCCAGGCCTCCACATTTATCTCTGTCTTAGCGGGGTCTGAGGCTGCCTGTAGCCTTCAGGTTGGCAGCAAGGAGCATTTGTGTGTGGGCTCGTGGCACAACCCCATCCCAAGCAGCCCTTGTAAGACCACACAGTAGAGGTGGCTCGGGGTCCCCACATAGGCTGCTGTCATCTCTCTGCTGGCTCCGAAAGAGGAGACTTGGCTGCATCACCAGTGACTGAAAACAACCCTGGAAGCCGCACTGCATGTCACCACCCATCACCTTAGAGTGGTGCATTGCAAAAGAGTTGCTCACTAACCAGCCTCAGCCCCTAAGCCTTGGGGTCTCTCTAACCAGAGATGGCAGGCTGGCACCAAGAGGACCCTGACACACCTACCCTGTCAACCTGGGACACATACTTACCTATTTCCTGGGCTCTGGAAAATGCTACCTTTCTCCCTCTCTGGACTCCCTAACCAAAGTCTGCAGAAGAACCAGGCCTTCCCCACCCAGCCCACCCTCTCATATCTGGAAGGGGCCAAGCATGCTTACTCGTCTTTTTGCCCACTCTCAGGCTGGTCACACAGAAGTGTGTCACCCACTCATCAGATGAGCAAACTGAGGTCAAACTGAAGAGAAAAGACACAGTTCAGAACCGGAACTCCCAAGTTCCAGAGCTTCTCACCTGCCTTCATGTCTTTCAACATCCTGAGAATGGGGACCTTCAGGACAGAGACTTGTACAAGCTTGAAGGAGCAAGGCGGGGTGGGGGGGGCATGTTGTGCAGAGCTTCAGGTTCTACTGTACAGGAAAACTTAGAAGGGCTCCATAGGATTTCCTAGAACCAGGCCAAGGAGTTCAATACCAGCTATAGGAGTCAGATGCTGCAGTCTATTCCAGCATCAGGTGGCCAGGACAGCAGATGTGGCCTGAAAGCGTGCCCTCTCTCCATGGGAGCACTACAGCTGAAGCCCTCGGGCCACTGCATCTCTTCCCCAAGAGCAGGGCACAGGGTGGAGGCTGAGCTAGGCAGATTTTCTGGGAATGCCATGTCTCCCCCCAGCTCCCCACCCCCATGGCCACCTGCACAGTGCCTCTACCCTTCACCGGCTCCCCTACTAAGATAATCATATCCTGTTCCCCCAGAAAAGACCCCAGGCAAGGAAGGAGGGAGGGGCTCACAATCACAGCATGGGGAGACTCATTCGCTCATTCATTTATTCAACAAACATGGTCCATTTTCCACCCAGTTCTGCAGAAGGTACAAGTCTCTGTCCTGAAGGTCCCCATTCTCAGGATGTTGAAAGTCCAATGGAGCAGACAGTGTGCCAGAATTAAGTGAGGAGAGGAGGCCAGCATGGAGGGGCTGAGATGATGGAGTAGGGGGCTGGAGAGACAATGGGGCAGTTCAGGCCCTAAGAGCCCAGATGTGGATCTGGAATTGACTGAGGCAGAAATAATGGCATTGATGCCACCTGAATTATGTTTTTAAAGGATTACAAATATTTAAAACTTAATGTTAGTAGTGGCATTTTCCAAGCACTTTCTATATAGTAGGCAATGCCCTTGGTACACTGGCCTCATTTTCTTTCGTCCTTATACTCATCATATTGCTGTAGTGAGCCTGACTACCTCGCCTTTGTTTGAGGAGACAGAGAGGTCCAGAGTGGGGAAGTACAGGATGTACCCAAGGTCACAAGACTGGTAAATATGAAGTCTGGACTTGGGATAGCTCTGTCCATTCCCAGAGCTAATGTAGGGTCTCCCTGGTCTGAGCCTCATTTCTAACTCGTCATCTAAATAACTGCTACTCAGTATTTTTTTTTCCAGCATTGGGGATGAAACCCAGGCCTTGTGCATACTAGACGGGCACTCTACTGCTGAGCTACAGCCCCAGCCCCACTCTTTAATGTTGCCATTGTCACAGCAAGGTATTCTCAACCCTACAGAGGAGACCTGTAGTCAGTTCCATCTAAGTGGCTTTCAGGATGTACTGCAGATATCATGTCCTGACCCACCCTCTGCAAGGTGGACATAGATACTGTCCTACTGTGTTGTGTGACAAAACTTTTCCTGGGGAGACATAACACACACATCTACTCATCCCAGACAGGAAACCCATGACGGATCAGAGTACTGTTTCCACAAAAGTCCAACTTGGTAAACCAGTAAGTTTTATTGGGGTGACTTACGGGCATATGGATGAGGAGTTACTTAAGGAGTAGAGATGACTCAAAGATAGCTGCATCCCCAAAGCCCACCCCAGCATGGGTGACAGCTCCCAAAGCTGGGAACCTGAAGCACACTGCACAGCCTGCAGGCAGTTCAACGGGTTGGACAGTGTCCTTTTCAGGTGACTCGGGCTAAACCTCTTCTAGGCATACAAGCTGGTTTCTCTTTCTTTGTGGCAGCTGGTCTGGTCTTGCAGTCCGAGAGTCTTCTCAGTTTAGCTTCTCTCCTCTGAGAGGGACTCTCTCAGCTTTAATTGCTTTCTCTGGCAGGGAGGCACCTAGAGAATCTGGTCAGTTGCAGAGACTTCCTGAAGCTGTTTTGAGTTGTTGACCTTGCTGTTTAAAGAGCTTCCCTAAAAGATGGGATATTTCGACGTTGGAAGAAATTGTTACACCATATCCTGGAGCTGCTGCAAGAAAACTGAGTACAGTCTGGGGGCTGTAGGGGGAGGGGCAGCACAGCAGATACTCCACAGAGTCAAAGCAGTGACTAGGAATCTGGCCACCTCAGATCACCTGGGTAAAGAAGGTGGCCCTCAGTCTCCCAGAGGCTAGCCAGCTGCAAAGGAGCAGCCAAGGCCAGAGGTGGAAGCTGGGGCCATGAAATTAATGAAAGCCTCGGGCCACCCTGAGCCTCTCCCAGAACTGTCCCCTTGCTCTTCTGTAAATTAGTACTTGGAAGCCCTGAAGTGGCCATCTCCCTGTCTCCTGGAAGCTTCCATTTCAGGCAGGTCAGAATCACAAGTACCATAAGGTGTCATCAAATCCAACATCCTGCCATCACAGAATTATTCCAGCGAGGAAGATAGTCACCATCTTTAGAACAAGTCCCTTTGTCCATTTTCCTTGTTTACAGGACCCACAAAAATCTGCAGATAGGCCTTCCACATCTCTCACTATCTTCCACTGCTCTTTAACAAGTGTACGCCAACATATGTACCCTCTTCCCAACCTTGCAAATGTGTGGAGCCTGAGATGACCTATCTTCAAAGAGTCATGTGGCATATAGTTTAGAAAGTGGAATTGGGGGGAAAGGGAGACACGACTCAAGTCTCAGACAAGCAAGATATGTGACCTGGATTAAGCCACCTGGCTTCTCCGGGCCTTGGTTTATTCACCCTGCCATTCATATTCTATAAAGTTCTTTCTTTCTTTCTTTCTTTCTTTCTTTCTTTCTCTCTCTCTCTCTCTCTCTCTCTCTCTCTCTCTCTCTCTCTCTCTC